GGGCCTGAAAGACTATTTTTGGCAGATTACTTGTCAGCGGAAGTTATAGGGTGCCACTTCTGGACTGGAGCATTTAATGACTTGCATGAGAACCTCTGTTTTTGTCTCCACGGTGACTGGAAATGTTCAAGAGATGGCTGCTCCCTTAGCCTGGTCTCTGAGTGACTAGGTTGAATAGTCCTCTGCTGTCTGCATGTCTCTGGCAATGTTCACAGAAAGTAGAGGTTAGCAAATGGCCAGTGGCCTATTTTTGTATGGCCTATGAATAGGAATGGGTTTTTTTTTACATTTTTAAAAAGGTTATACAAGAAAAATTAGAAAGAAGACAATGCAACAGATATCCTATGTTACTCACAAAGTGTGAAATATTTACCATCTGAGTCTTTAGGGAAAGAGCTTGCCACCTCCTGTTGTTGAGTGAGAAATAAACCTTTGTCGTCTTCGTCTACTGAGCTTTGGTTACCTCAGCAGGACCTCACACTAACCTGACTGATGCTCTGGGGGAAGGGGGAGGAAGACCCTGGGGAACAGAGGGAACAAAGGCAGAGAGCATCAAGGATTGAAGGAAATGCAAGCGAAGCAGGATGGTTCCAGGGTGGGGTCCCAGTGCGATGATGGTAGAGAATAAGGCTGAGGAAGAAAGCGAGGACTGAACTGTGTGGAGATGGGAATGTCACACCAACACTATTTTTTTTGCATTAAAAAAATTGAAGTATAGGTGATTAATAATATGTTAGTTTCAGGTGTACAGAAAAGTGACTCAGTTATACATATATATATATATAATATATATATATATATATATTCTTTTTCAGATCCTTTTCCATTATAGGTTATTACAAGATATTGAATATAGTTCCCTGTACAATACTGTAGGTCCTTGTTGTTTATTTTATATATAGTAGTGTGTACTGGTTAATCCCAAACTCCTAATTTATCCCCCCGACTTCATGCCAGCACTTTGGATTTGATCCTGTAGGCCATGGTGAGGACTTGGGGCAGGCTTTTTTTCTCACTTAAAAAAAAAATCCATTAAATTACGCAATTATCTTTGGAGTAATTATAAAATACAGAAGGGAAAAAAAGAATACTTTTTAAAAAGCATACTTTCAATACCCAGAGATAATGTTAACAAGTCTGTTTCTTTCCTTTTTAAAACGTGTTTAATTATATCCTCAGCTCACAGAATTGCATTGACATTATTCTCATTGGTCCTCTTGATCTGTTGATTTACTTTAGCAAAAACAACAACAAATAGTATCCTTGAGCCCACTACCACCTCCAAGAAATAGAATATTGACAGTAACATGTATCTGTCTGTCTAGGTGCTTCCCCCCTACCCATCTCATAAGCCTTCCTCCTGGAGGGAACCACTATTGTGAGAGATTTTGACCAGAGGCCTGACACTCAGTGTGTATTAGAAAGTTCACTCTGGCATGAAGCGGTCTGAAGGGTGACATCTTTGGGAAGCAGGGTATTGTAAGACTAGAGGAAGAAGAGCTAGAGGCCTGGGCAGTGGGGAAGACACCGAGAAAGGACAGGAAGAAGCTATTATTATGCAGCCAGAAGTACTCATATAATTCCTTCATGAGATTTTTCCTTCCCAATCCTGCGGACACAGCTTTTAGAACAGCATTTTCCAAATATGCTCAATCCATAAGCATCCTTGGCAATGTGTGTTAAAAGTGCAGATTTCCCGGTGCCTCCCTTAGAGAGCCTGACCCGACAAGTCCAGAGTGGAACCCCAGAAGCTGTGAGTGTAACCTTACAAGGAGT